TCATCTCACGTTTGGAGTATTTTAAAATATTGTGAAGTATTGGGCGATCGGTCTTTTCTTTTTGAATTAATATATATATATATATATATATATATATATATATGCACTTCAACTTCTTCAAGTCGAATGAATAAAAGGTGAAGAACTTGATCGTAAAACACAATGAAATTATGAAACATTGGGTCCCCTTTATCCAATTCGTTAGAACCGAAAGAAGACAAATACCAGATTGTTTTACGTTGTAGCGACTGAAGAGATTAAAAGAAATGTTAACATCTCGCAGTATTTGTCTTCTTTCGGTTCTAACAATGAAATTAGTCGAGAGTAGAAAAGGATGGAATCAATACAAGCGGAAAAGTTTCATTCAACCACAAACAGTTTTAAGAACCACTTTGGCATTCAAAAAAACAGGAGCTTAAATGGTACTGGAGATTCCTGATCACCGTTCGTGTTGGATCGAATAAGGTTTTATTGAAATCAAGTATGCGAATGTGTAGCTCGCAGGTAAATGCTGATTCAACGGATGTGTGGAATCAGAGCGAATCTTATCCGCAAAAGTTTCCCTGGCTTCGACTTGATAAGTATGGGTTGACGGTTTCAACGAAACTGTTGCGTAGCGTCCGGGTATCTTTCTTGAGTAACTGGGGTTTGGTAAAGTAAAACAGACAGGATACGCTGAAGTGTGGACCAGTTTAAATCTGAAAAATTAAAATGTAGTTGTCTTTGTTTTTATTGGTCCAACTCTGAACGTTAGAAAGATCGACACTTATTGGTACTGTTAGGATGGAGCGCACAGAACCCGTCAGGTCACGCATTGATCCGCCTTACATCACAAGTGCAGTCGTGGCGCACAAGGCCGAATCGATTCCGGATTAGATGACTAAGGCGAATGAGATAGCTGTTGTCCGATCGATCAACCGGAGTTTCAAGGACGTGATCGGATTGGCGCATCACCAAGTTGTTTCTCGTACGCCTAACTTACCACTTATATTTGAGTATTGAGTCATGATTAAAAACATACTGACTGGTTTTCTCAGCCGTGTTTTCTCTCGAATTGTTGGGCACCAGTCAAGAGGCGCTCATATCGATCATACATCTTGGCAAGACATAACAGGTACCTGCCGCAACGAGTCAACGAATAGGAGTGATCTGAAAGAAACGGCAAGTTTGGACTGATTTGCCTCAGGATTTATACACAAAATTGAAAATTGAGTTTCAGCGTCCAGCATAAGTCCATATATTTGGGGAAGCTGAAATGATGCTGGCCGTCGCAGATTGAAATGTCAAGGATATTCCTTCTCGGTAAACTGAGGCAATAAGACGTCAAGAGGAAACTTGTTTGAAATCATTCAAAAATAACCTTGGTGGAAACTTTATTGGGAATTTCAACAATCGTTATGAGTTCCCCTTGAAATCGGGATATCACCAGCATCGAACTACGTCATTTGTTGTGTAAGTGTTTCAACTCCACATTTCACTAGGTCAGCATGAATACAACCAGGGACCATTGGCAACCGCTGCATTAGCGGTTTAGGAAGAAGTGAAATCTTTATCAGTGGAATGAATCAATTAAGTGCCAAACTGTGTTCGATGGAAGTGTCTCAGTTCAGGGATAAATGAATGTGATGTTTAGATTATCAGGGACATGATAAATGCATCCGGATAATGCGCGTTGCTCACATACGAAATTGATTCAAAACCTGGATAATGTCATCCGCGAGAATCATGATAATTAGTCGGAAAATGATTTGGTCAAGCGTTTGATCTCCCTCGCACGATAAGGATGTCATCAAGCGCGATTGACTCGTGTTTTTTAGATATACCCCTTTTATCTATTCAGGAAATTAGAACAAATCCTGTGCAGTCCGTCTCCCGCATTTGTGCCATATCTCATCGAATGAATTTGTAGTCCGCGGACAAATTAGTCCGTTCAACCGCGATGCCAATAAACTTTGCGGTGTATAATTACTCATAGAGATTGAAGAAAACATTGGAAGCACAATTTGTCCGCATTGAGTTGGAGTAAAGAGGCTAAAAACACAAGTTTGTACAATGAATCCCATATCGTTTCGTTGCATCTGCACACATGCATCGTGCAGTTTAGGTGCTCAATAATATATGGTCAGAGTTAAGAGATGAGAGATGACATCTTTCGGGTATCCGTTAGATTGTGAAACTTTCCTAATCTTGTCACACTCGCTATCTAGGGTATCTACTGTGGAAATCTGTTGCACCCTGTAAAAGAGCGTTCGAACTGGACCAGTCCAATTGGAGTGAAGCTGATAACATGGAGATATTGTCCAGACCATGCATAGGTTTGACGCATTTATCTTGTGATTGATCCATTCGTTTGACAGGAAACTTACATATCTAGAA